AAACCCCAAAAAAAAAAAAAAACAAAACAACTCTTTAGTGACTTTCCATCATATTTAGAATAAAACCCAAACTTTTTGTACTGGCTCACAAACTCAGGCTCATGTGATGTAGCTTTTGTCTTCCTCTCTATCTCTTTGCCCACTAAATTATTCCTACATCAGGCCTTTGCATTAGCTGTTCTCTTTTCTAGAATGCTCTTCCTCTGTATTTTCACAAAGCTTAATTCTTCTCTATCTAAACATCTCTTCCTCAGGCTTTCTCTAATCAGTCTCTCAACCTTCAGTCTAGAGTGATATCCCTATCGTTCTTTGTCATATCATTCACTTAAAAATCTTGGTATAACATAGCCTATTATTTGATTGATATATAGAGTGTGTGTGTGTGTGTGTGTGTGTATATATATATATATATATATAAAATTCATCCTCCCCCCCCCATAGGATCTTGTTGTGATCCTCCTGCTTTTGCTGCCCAACTGGGACTGCAGGTCCATGCCACCATACCAGGTTCAGTCTTAGACAGGGTCTTCCTATGATGTCTAGGTCAGCCTTAAGTTTGCAGTTCTCCTGCTTAGCCTCCTGAGTTGCTAGAATTACAGGCATGCCACTGTTCAACACTGTCCAGACCATTAGGTTGCATCAACAAGCAAACCCAGGCCTCCCCTGAGGTCCCAGCCTGCAGAGCACAGCAGTCTAAGCAGTGTGTACCTCAACAGCCAGGCCCTTTATCTTGTTATCAAATGATCTGTTTTTCCCTCATTCTATGCCTTATCCACTCATTGTTTTTCCTTCATGTTGACTGCTGAATCTGCACTGCCTAAGATAGTAATTGGCACATAACAGGCTCACTTAGGAGATATTTATATATATATAAAAAAAATTGCCAACATACACCAGGTGTTTGGTATTTATAAGAATTATTTGTAGAATGTATCACCTTTCTGCATAAACAGAGTTTCAGAGTTCCAGTTGATATGCTGTTTTGAAAGGACCGTTTCATTTCATTTTAGTTTTTATGTGTAGCTTTTGTTTCTCTAGCAATTAGAAACTACTTGAGGTTAAAAGGTAGTTTTATTTATTGTTTTAGCTTCTATCCCTCAAGGGGCCTACTGACATCAGAATTCAGTAAATAACTTTGATAAAACATAGTATGTTTTGTATTATTGTTTGGCAAAATGTAGAGTGCTTTCATGTGTGAGGTTGAAAAGTTAACATAATACCTGGCTGGTATCACATTTACCTTCCGTCTTCCCTTGTGTACATCATGCCCTCAGCTTGTCAGCTTTCTGTGCTACCTGTTCTCGGGAGGAAGTTTAAGAGTGGCTATGGTAGGGTGAATAATGCCCTGCCCCCAAATATGACTGATTAAGCATTTTGAGATGGGAATCAGGGTAATCTTGATTTACCCAAGTTGACCCAGAGTAATCAAAAAGGTCATTAGAGAGTGGGAAAATCAGAATATCTATGTAGAAAGCATGATGATGGAAGCAGAGGTTGGAATGACATACTTTGAAGAGAGAGGAAGGGGAGCCACTGACAGTGGAAAAGGAAAGGAAATGAATTCTTCCTTATGAATTCAGTTATCCCAAAGGAATGTACCTTTGTATACAATCTGATTTTAATCCCGTAAACCTGATTTCAGACTTCTGACCTCTCAAACTGTAGATAATAAATATGCATTGTTTTAAACTTCTAAGTTGGTGGTAATTTGTTACAATAGTCATCAAAACTAATAGAGTGGTTTAGAGCAAAAAACCTTAAACTATCACAGACCCTGTGTAATGTCTCAAGGTTAACCTGAGTTGCTGATTTAATAGCCATAAAAATTAGAGATGGTAACTTCTGGTAGGTTATTTTTTGGGAAAAGGAAAAGGTGTGGTTGAAAGCCAGTCATATGGCCTCGTAACTAAAAGAACTGGATCTCACATAGCCAGTTGCATAGTTTGAATCCTGGCTCTGACAGCTTGCAAAACATGCTGGGCGCATGTGTATGTGTGCCTAAAATCCCAACAGTATGGAGAAATGGAGAAAGGATTGCAGTCTGACCACACTCCACTGGGGGGTGCTTTCTCCCTCTTTTTATCTCTGTCTGTCTCCTGGTGAGCTCATGCACCCTGTGGCTTATAAACATAAACAAAAAAGGCATGGTTGCTTGAAAAATGAAGGAATATTATATGCTGCAGTTGGAACATCAATTAGATAGTACAATTAAGCTTTCGATGACTTTTTGCATATGTCTCACACAGATCAGAAACCCCTTGACCTTGCCCAGGGTGCTGAAATGAAACACATTATTATTGCTAATAAGGTGGGTATTAATGCATTAGATCTATATAATAATTTTGAGGACAAAACTTTTGAATACTTTAAATATAGTGATGCATTTTTAACAAAAATGTGTTTTCAATAGGTCATCTACAAAGCATTGAAGCGATATGAAGGTCCTCTCTGGAAGGTAGGTTGGGAGAATTTTTTGCTTATAAAGTTAGAAAGCATGCTCAGGTGCTCTATTTATGTTAAACATCGTTCTCCCAATCATTTCTGAAGTATAAGTGATTTACTCATTCTTGGATTTTATAAAGTAAGTGATCTTGATACTGTTGGACTTCACGTGGCTTCCACTGGTTTTCACAATCACCTTCTTTTGTGTTCATGAACTAATACTTTTAGGTGACAAAGTTTATGTGGAAAGAAGTGGAGTAAAATACAATTTTTTCTCACTAAATAATAGAATTACAGTATTATTTTTGCTAAGAACATTGAACCATGGAGGAAATTATTTGAATCATTATAAGGTTTACAGGTAAAATTCTGGTTCTGAAAATTTCTATACATTTTGGTATTATTTTCTAGATTTAAGAATGTTATGTAGCACACAATTTCTTTGGATTTGCAAGCAGTCATGTGTATGTATATATGTATATTTGTATTGTATAAAATAAAATTAGAATAATTTTTTATTTTTTAGACTTTCATGAATAACTGAGGTGATCATCTTTGAATTTCACAACTTTCTTTTTTTTAAGAGAGATTTTTGCTAGAGGGCACATATTCTTCTGGAGAGACAGACAGAAAGTGAGAAATCACTCTCCATGGGGTATGTCCACACCAAAATCCCTTGTCCTACATTTTTCCCTCAGGATTTTGGGCATAAACACATACACCCAGCAAGATTTTTAAGCCACTGGTTTTGGGACTCAAATTGCAGTCAACCACATGGGAGTCCAGTACCTTAAACACTATGCCACCTACTGGTCCCACAACTGGTTTATTTTTAATAAATATCCTGATAGTATTGTCAGAACCATAAACTGTATTCATCCGTGATCTTATCAGTGAAACATTTCTTCTCTTCCTGTCATGCCACAGTTGAATGTTTTTATTAATACGCTTGGTTCCTCAGTTCATGTTTGATCTTTTTTTGTGTGTGTTCTAGTGTGTGTGTGAATGATAAAAAAAAGACAGACAGAGAGAAGCACCCTCAACAGGGTTTCATCATGCCATAATCCCTTTTTCCCTATCCCTTCAGCTTCTCAGTCTGTGGATGCCCATGCGCATGCCTGGCATTTTCAGCTCACTGAGGGGTCTGACTCTGCAATGAGGCAAGTGGCTTCCAGCACTGTGGGGCACTTGTGTTACCACTACATCCCACTGCTGGGCCTTAGATCATTTTTAATGTTCAGTACTGCTGTCTAGATGGAAGACTGAGATTAACAGTCATAATTTACTTGGTATCAGTCAAGTATTTGTACCTAGATCATTCAGTTTGGGAAATCTTTGTTATTTTTTTCCTTTAGAGTTCAAGATTTTTTGGCTGGAGATTATTCTGGGTAGTCTTAGAACATGGAGTCCTTTCGTGGTATAGGAAACAGTAAGTATTGTGGTCTTTATGTTGATTAGATCTCAGTATGTACATTTTGAGTAAATTTTTTAATTCTGTTTTCTCTTTTGTCTTAATAAATTAATATTTATTTTGAAGGCCAGATGCAGTTCATAATGTTTACCGACAGGGATGCAAACACCTGACACAAGCAGTGTGCACGGTAGGTAGGACGAGACACGCCTCTTGATCAAACTGTGAAATCAGTTCTGCAAGTGCTTGCCCCTGTCATTTGTATAGCCTTGTAAGATCTCAAGTTTTCTTGGAGTGGTGTAGAAAGTACATGTATATGTTCTTATTTGAGAATAAGTAAAGTTGTGAATCTCTGTTTAGAAAAACTCAAAAGTATAATTAGCTTTTGTTTATCTCCACATACTGTGGAATGAGAGATGGTTGATCCAAAAACATCTGTACAGAGCTTTTAACATTTGGTGTGTGCGTGTTTCTTGTACATGGATAAATCTGGATAATAGAAGGTTTTCTGGAGTTAGTATAAAACGGAAAGCCTGGGTCAAAATCAGGAGTTTCAGTTCTCCATATTCACTTCTAGCTGTTTTACTTATAACAGCCAGAAGAATAAATGAGTTTTTACATGCGCCTAGTCAGACTGTCATGTTTCTTGCTTCAACTTCTTCAGAGTCATCCACGCACCATGGCCCTCTTTCTACTCCTTAGCACACACCACCGGCCCTTGCCAGTGTGAACCTTCTTAGGAACCGGTAGTATACTGCCTCTGGGGAGTCATATGCTTAGTCACATAGCCTAGAAGCACAGCCCGGTGACACAGGCCTGGCCCGGCCAGTGTCCTCACTCCCTTCCTCTTTCCCTTTAGGCCAGACCTAGTTCACATTAAACCAGTGAACCTCTGTCATCTGACCCAGCTTTTTACTTCTTTTGTTGGTGGAATCCTAGCCATTCACTTCTGTTTCTTCTCCTGATTTATCTACTTAATAACAAGGTTTTCCTCAGTTGGGTCCTTTATCTCATTCTCATCTTCCTTAAAATTAAAATAAATAAACAAATTATACCCCTTGCACTTTAAAAAATTTCTTGTTCTCTAGCTTCTCTGGATTTGGTCAGGTCCTGACACATTATGCCTCACTTTGTTTTGTAATTTTAAATTTCTCCCTTAATTGCCTGCTTAAAGCGTACACTGTGAGTTGTATGAGTATAATAAGCTCATGGACATTTGCTGAGTGACTCCTGGAAAATGGGCTCTGTTCACTTCCTAGTTTGTGTAATTGTTTGTTTGTTTCTTTCTTTCTTTCCTTTGTATAGAGAGATTTTTGCTATAGGTTGCATGCGCTCACCAGAGAGACACAGAAACAGAGAGACAGAAAGTGAGAAATCACCCCCCAGGGAGGATGGCCATACCACAGTCCATTCCCCCTTCTCCTCTTGGGATTTTGGGCATGCACGTACACGTACCTGGCATGAGTTATAAGCCACCAGGTCCAAGATTCGAACCGTGGTTGACTAGTAGGAGTCCAGCAATGTGACCATGATGGCATCTGCTGGTCCCCACTATCTAGTTTTTTTCTTTTTTTTTTTTTTTAATAGACCATAGATTAGTTTATTTTTATATTCATCATGACATGAATTCATAGGGAATAGGTTCCAGTAGCTCAGGCTCCTTTCCATTGGTTCTCACAAAGTGTGCTTCTCTGGGTGAAGCAGGCTGGCACTTAAGTTGAACCCAGGTAGCTTTCTCTTTGTCTTCCTTCTTTTTCTGGTCATTTTCCTTCACACATTTTAGGAAGCTAGCTCTGCTCTTAGAATGCTTAATATGCTCAACACGCACATTAACTTTCTTGTCAAGAATCTTGCCCATAGCTCGTTTGTCTTTGATGATGCCAACAGCATGCTGGATAACATTGTAGACTCTTCCAGTTTTGCCATGGTAACATTCCTTTTTGAACAGTACCCATTCCCTTGATATCTACAATATCACCTTTCTTATAAATTCACATATAGTTTGGCAAAGGAACCACTCTATGTTTTTAAAATTCACGTTTGTTGCCAAAGGAACCACTCCATGTTTCCTAAGAGGCCCAGAGAACATACAACAGGTATCTTTCCTCTTCTCCTTTGTGTTCATCATTTTGGTGAATTACTAGAAGATGGTGGTTCTAGTCAAAAGGCCACTTTCTAGTTTCTTAAGGTAGAAACTTTGGTTATTGACTCAAGACCTTTTTTTCTTATATAAATTTTCGTAGCTTTACATTTATTTTAATTGTGGTAGAATACACATGGCATAATCATATCTTAATTATTTTTAAGTGTGCAGTTCAGTTGCTTTAATTAGTATTCACTTTGTTGTGAAATAAATCTCTAGAACTTTGTCGTCTTGTAAAACTGAAACCCTGTGTCCATTGAACAAGTTCCTGTTTCCCATTCTCACAGCCCCTGACAAGCACCACTCTACTTTCCATTTTTTTTTTGTTAGTTTTTTACCATAGGGTGCATGCGCTTTCCAGAGGGAGACAGAGAAAGGGGAAGTGAGAAATCACCCCCTAAGCAATGGCCATGCCATAATTCCTTCTCTATTCTCCTCTCGGGATTTTTGGGCATGCACACACATGTGATATTCAAGCCACCATGTCCGAGATTTGTACTATGGTCAACCATGTGGGAGTTCACCACATGGTTGGAATAATGGAGTATAAATGGAATAATAAATGGAATAATACATATTTGTCTTTCTGTGACTGGCTTATTTCACTAATATAATGTTATTAAGATCATCCATGTTGCAGTATGTAACAGGAATCCTCTCCTTTTTATGGTAAATAGTTTTGAATTGTATGTGTATAATTCATTCTTGGCTACTATGAATGATGCTGTAATGAATGTGAGCATGCAAATATCTTTTCAAGATCCTACTTTGATTTTTTTCCAATATATACCTAGACATGAAATTGATAGCTAGTTCTATTTTTAATTTTTTGAGGAACTTCTATTTTTTTAAAGAATTTATTTTATTTATCATTATTATTATTATTATTGTTCTAATTCGTTATAGGGCACATGTGGTCACCAGAGAAAGAGAGAGAGAAAGTGAGAAAGCAAGATAGCATGCCACCAGGTTTGGGACTCAAACCATGGTCAGCCAAGTGGATGACCAGCACCTTAACCACCATTCCACCTACAGGCCCTGGAACTAACATATTTTTCCCCCATAGTGTTATGACCTTTCTACTCATCCATAAACAATGCCCAAAAGTTCCAATTTTGCCATGTCCTTGCCAACATTTGATATTTTCTGTTTTGTTTTTTTAAATAGTGGCCATCTTAAAGTAGTGACATCACATAGTGGTTTTGATTTGCATATTCTTAATGATTAGTTATGTTCATCATCCTTTCCTGTGCTTTTGACCATTTGTATGTTGTCTTTGAGAAATGTCTATATAAGCCTTTTTTTTTTTTGAGAGGTTTTTGCTATAGGGTGCGTGTGCTCGCCAGACAGACAGAGAGAGACAGAGAGACAGAAAGCAGGAAATCACCCCCCAAGGAGGTTGGCCACGCAGTATTCCCTTCTCCTCCATTCTCCTCTCGGGATCTTGGGCACGCATGCACACACGCCCGGCGTGAGTTTAAGCCACTGGGTCCGGGACTCGAACCGTGGTCGACTATGTGGGAGTCCAGCGACATAGCCATTACGCTAACTGCTGGTCCCAGTCTTTGCCCACTTTTTAACCATGTTTTGTTTTGTTGTTGTTGAGTTGTAGGAGTTCTTTACATATTATGAATGTTAACTCCTTATCAGGAGTATGATAGTTCTATAGGTTGCTTTTTCACTCTGTTGATAGTGTCCTTTGAAGTGCAGAGTTTTAATTTTGATAAAATCTAATTTGTTTCTTTTTTTGTCACTTGTGCTTTTGATGTCTTATCTAAGAACTCATTGCCGAATCGAATGTCATGAAGCTTCTTCCCCGTTTTCTTGGAGTTTTGTACCTTTAATTCTGATGTTAAGATTTTATTTTTTAATCAATTTTGAGTTAATTTTTATAGATGATAGGAACACCAACCTTCATTTCAGTCGAGGGTCCATTTTCAGTCTTCTGCATGTAAATATCCAGTTTTGTCGATAGAATTTTTTTGAAAGACTTACTTTTTCAATTGCATGCACTCTTGTCAGAAATTATTTGACGATATATATGAGGGCTTATTTCTGGTCCCGCTATTCTGTTTCCTCTGTCTAGATGTTTGCCATTATGGCAGTACTACTTTTTTTTCCCCTGCTGAAGGGCATTTGCGTTCATCACCGAGATGGGGGTGGGGAGAAAGCAACCCTGAATGGGGTGCGACACCACTGCAGTTCTTTCTCCTCTATTTCTCTGTTCTGTCAGGATTTGGGGCATGTACATACACTCAACCAGCATGGTTTTGAAGCCACAGGGGCCAGGAGTTGAGCTGTAGTTGACCATGTGGGATCTTTCTTCCTTAACCACGAGGCCATGGAACTGGTCCAACATACTCTTTTTTTTTTTTTTTTTTTTGAAGAGCTTTTTGCTATAGAATGCGTGCACTGGCCAGAAAGACAGAGAAAGATAGACAGAAGGTGAGAAATCACTCCCCAGGAGGAATGGCACGCCACAATCCCTTTTCCTCCATTTTCCTCTCAGGCTCTTGGGCACACATGCACTCGTACCTGGCGTGAGTTTAAACCACCGGATCCGGGACTTGAACCACAGTCAGCTACATGGGAGTTCAGCAACATAGCCATTACTCCAGCTGCTGGTCCCCCAACATACTCTTGATTATTATAGATTCATAGTAAATTTTACAATCAGGAAATTTGCGATCTCTAAATTTTTTTCTTCATTTTCAAGATTGTTTTGATCATTTGTAGTTCATTGAGATTCTGTTTGATTTTTAGGGTGGCTACATTTCATAAATGTTTATATGTCATTTTTTTTGTTTTATTTCAGCCCAAAATACTTTCTGGTTTTCTTTTAAATTTTTTTTCTTTGACCCATGAGTTTAAAGGTGTATTGTTCCATTTCATAATATTAGTGGTTGTTTTTATTTTTCTTTTCTTATTATTTTCTAATTTAATTCCATTGTATTGAAGATCATCCTCTTTTTTTTTTTTTTCAAAGACAGAGACAGAGATAGGTATTTTTGACAGAGTCTCCTCAAATTGTGGTCCTACTGCCCTATTTAGCTAGAACCATGAGTACATGCCATCATATCCAACCTGGCTATGTTGGCCTGGGGACCAAACTTAGACCTCCCATGCAGCTTCAGCCATCACACAGTGACATCCTTCTGTTTGCACCATTGAGGTTTGGACCCCATGAGAATTGTTTTTTTTTTTTTTGAGAGATTTTTTTCGCTATAGGGCGCGTGCGCTCGCCAGACAGACAGAGACAGAGAGACAGAAAGTGAGAAATCACCCCCCAGAGGGGATGGTCATGCCGCAATCCCTTCTCCTCCATTCTCCTCTCGGGATCTTGGGCACGCACACACATGCACCCGGTGTGAGTTTTAAGCCACCGGGTCCGGGATGCGAACCGCGGTCAACTATGTGGGAGTCCAGCGACATAACCATTACGCTAACTGCTGGTTCCCCCCCATGAGATTATTTTTGAATAAACATTTTTCTTTCTTTGTTTTAAAAAATAATTATTTATTTAATTTTATTTATTCATTCATTTTATTTCAGTTGGACCAGAGAGAGACAGAGAGAGAGAGAGAGAGAGAGAGAGAGAAAGTGAGAAAGCAAGCCACTAGGTTCGGGACTCAAACCATGGTTGACCATGTGGGAGTGTCCAGCACCTTAATCATCACACTACCTGCTAGTCTCCTGAATAAACATTTTTTTAAATTTTGGTATATTTTTGGTCTATTTCTAGTGATCTAGAATAATTGTTCTGATTAAGATTGCATTGAATCAATAGATTAACTTGGGTGGATTGCCTTACTGTCTTAGTTGTATTGAGACTTTCAAGCTATAAACACTGTATATTTCTTCATTTATTGAAATCTTTCATTTTCTTTTACTATTTTATAATTTTTGTTTATTTTTTAATGAATTATTTATGTAACTTTTTTGTTATTATTATTTTAATTTGCTATAGTGCATGTGTGCTCATGAGAGAGAGAGGGAAAGTCAGAAAGCCAGCTACCAGTCTGACTCAAACAGTGGTCAGCCATGTGGAAATGCCAGTGCCCCAACCACCACATCACCTGCTGGCTCCTAAATTTATTCTTATGTATTTATTTTTTGAAGATACTATAAATGAAAGATTTTTACTTTCTAATTTTTTGCTACGTGTGTGTGAGTGTGTATGTATATGTCACAATGCTTTATACTTAGCAGGATAAACAAAACAAGGATGTCCATGCTCACTAAATAAATTTACAATTGTACTGGAGGTCCTATGCAGTAAATAAAGCAAGGGAAAGAAAGAAAAAACGATTGAAAAGAAATATGACAATCTTTTTTTTTTTTTTTAACTCTTTGCTATAGGGTACATGCACTTCAAAGAGACACAGAGAGAGAGATAGGGAAAGTGAGAAAGCATCCCCCGGAGGGGTTGCCATTCTGCAATCCCCTCTCCTTCACTCTCCTCTAGGATTCTGGGCATGCATGCACATGTTCCTCAAGCCGCTGGGTCCAGGATTCCTATCACTCAGCCAACCACATGGTGGCTAGCTGCCACCACCTACTGGCCCACACCAATTTTTATTTGCAGACAACATAATTGTTATGTATGAAGTAATCTCCAAAATAGTTACCAAAATAAGTGAATTTAGGGACCAGCAGTTAGCTTGATGGCTATGTCGCTGGACTCCCATGTAGTCGACCGTGGTTTGCGTCCTGGACCGGGTGGCTTAAAACTCATGCTGGGCATGTGTGCGTGCATGCTCAAGATACTGAGAGGAGAAAGGAAGAGAAGGGATTGCGGCGTGGCCATCCCCCCAGGGGGTGATTTCTCACTTCCTGTCTCTATGTCTCTTTCTGGTGAGCGCACGGGCCCTATAGCAAAAAACTCTCAAAAAAAGTAAAAAAAAGTAAGTGAATATAGCCAGGCTGCAAGGCATCAGGTAAATCTATATCTGCATGTGTGTGTAGGGGTGTGTGTGTGTGTGTGTGTGTGTGTGTGTGTGTGTACACATATATATATATATATATATACACACACACACACATATATACAAATATATACATATATATATATACACACACACACATACATATACAAATATATACATACATGCATACATATTATTAGTAAGTGTCAAAATCCTTATTTTGTTTTTCCTGCTAAATATAAAACATTGTGACAAATCTTGAGCCTTTCCTCCTGAATGATCAGCTGTAGGTTTTTCATAGTTGCCTTTAATCTACTTGAATATGTTCATTACATAGCTTACTGAGAGTTTTTGTTATGAAGACATGTTGAATTTCACCTGTATTATTGAAATGTTATATGACTTTTCTCATTTATTCCATTAATATGGCAAATTGTATTGATAGGTTTTAGGGTGTTAATAAACTAATTTTATGTTGCTGGGATAACTCCCACTCGGTCATGATATGTTACCCTCTTCTTTTCTTTCTTTCTTTCTTTTTTTTTCTTTTTTTTTGCTATAGAATTTGTGCAGTCACCGGAGAGAGAGAGAGAGAAAAATCATACACACCCCACCTCTGCCCCCAGGAGGATGGCCACACTCCAGTCCCTTCTCTTCTAGTCTCCTCTTGGGGTTTTGGGCAGCTTACCCAGTGTGATTTTCAATCTGCCAGATTTGCTACTCAAACTTTGCAGCTGGCCATCAGCGCCTCAACCTCCATGCCCCACCCACTGGCCCTGCTGTGTTATCTTTTTAATATACTGTTTGCTGATCTAGCCATGGTGGTGCAAGCCATAAGGTACCTACCTGTGTGATACTGGAGGCATATGAGAAAGCTGTGGGTTTGAGTCCCAGGTCCACCAGAACACTGGGTTTGCCTGTGATCTTGGCTGGGGAGTGGACTGAAGCTCTAAAGAATCTGGATTCTTTTCTTTTTCTCCATTAAATGTTATTTTATTTTAGCAAGTAATTTTCTTGGCTTGGTTTGAATTCCAAAGTCTATATCAAGACAGCATTTCTGGTCTCTTCAGACAGTCTGTGTCTATGTGAGCTGCTCTGAATCTTTTCTGTGCATTTGTAGTTTGTTGGATCAGTTGGAAATGTCAGTAGACAGAATTTGGTATCCCGTCTCTGTCTCTTTCCTTTGAGGGAGTTCTCGGTTCTCATGAATATTTATGGCTCCCAGCCTGCTTTATTAATTCCCGAAGGCATAAAGACTGGGTTTTCTCCAGGAGCCCTTCCTTCTGTTATCTCACTGTGTGGACTGTACCTAGTCCCAGATCTAACACCGTGGGAATGGGAACTTTCTGCCACAGCCTCTTGTTCCTTTCCCTTCCAAAAGTGTGTGCGTCCCTTAGCACAGTGCTTCAGCTTTTGTTCACTTTGCAATGCCTTCACTGGTTGCTTGCTTGTTTGTTTTGTTCAAGTTTTATAGTTGTTTACTGCAAAAGAGGCTCGAAAGCAAAAGTCTACCTTTTCCCATACTTAAATCACCTCCCTTTACAAATTTTGACTAAAAAAATAGTTATTTATGATTCTTTCTATCCTCTTTTGTCTTCTTTGTCCAAGTTATTTACTTCTCATTCTCTACACTCAGCTCAAAGAAAAAGTTTAGGACAGTGGTATAAACAGGAAGTTAGAGCTGTGATATATAAAGGATTTTACTGCCCAAGTGCATGCTAAATTATATCTAATTATAATTAATAGGCAAGATCAAAACTAAGCCACATACCTAATGATCTTAGTATTTAGTATTTACTTTGTAACTAAACATATGAAAGCCATATTTGACATAGATAAGCAGTGCACTTGATTTTCCCTCTGTATCAGTTTTTAAAAAAATTTTATCAATCATTATTTTAAATGTTCAATTAGGTATCATTAAGTCATGCTAGTACTTTAAATATCATATGTAGGTCATTTTAGTGCTCTTTTGTCTGAACGAATGTTATCTTACTGACTGACTTCTTTATATCTAAGGTAAAATCTACTGATAGCTGCCTCTTCTTTATTAAATGCTTTGATGACACTATTCATGGCTTCAGGGTTCCTAAGAACAACCTTCAACAGTCAAGAGAGGTAATTTTATGGATTCATTTGTCTTTTATAAAACTTAAATAATATTTAAAGACATGAAGAATATAACATAGGTTCAGTGTTAACTTCTAATGGCTTATATTGATTGTACTTTTTAATAAATTTGTTTAAGTTTTTAAATTTATTTTCATGAGAGATACAGAGATAAACAGAAAGACAGCATACCCAACAAGTTCCTGGCGCTGTGGTCAACTACCAGCTTAGCCAGCTCTGAGTTCTGTATACATGTGTGCTTGGTATACTTGGGGTAGTCTCTGGATGCAAACTGTGAATCTTCCTGTGTGGTTTCTACCTCATAGAACTTGGCATTGTACTGTCGTGCTACCATCTAGCCCCTGGTTGTACATTTTAAATGGGAACAATTCAATGAATTTTTTTTTTTTTGGTAGAGAGATTTTTGCTATAGAGTGCATGTGCTCACTGGAGAGACAGAGAGACAGAAAGCGATGGCCATGCCACTATCCCTTCTCCTTCTTTCTCCCCTCAGGATTTTGGGCACGCATGTATACACACCCAGCATGAGTTTTAAGCTGCCAGGTTCGGTACTTGAACCATGGTTGACTACATAGGAGACAGGCGATATAACCATTATGCCATCTGCTGGTCCAACAAGTCAATGAAATTTTAAAAATTTAGTTTATGAATTCTTTATCAACATGTACCTGTAGGTGTTTTCTGTTCATACTTTGTTTTTCATTTTAATTCTCTGAAGGCAAGCAGTCTCTGTTTTTTTTGTTTGTTTTTGTTTATTTTATAAAAGACTAAGTGATTATACAGTCTGCCTCTTAATTTGTAGGCGAGTAAACTGAAACTGTTAGATTAAAGTGATTTCTCAAAGCCATGTAGCTTGCAGGTGACAGAATCTGGACTACATCCAGATGTTCTGACACTATGATTTAGACTCTGCCTTCTTTTATGGTAAATTGGATAATAGTAAGCAAGAAAATTGAGATTCACTTGACTGAAATTTATGATATGGTAATTTAATGGAGAATCTATATTCCTTTCATTCAAAGCAGCGTTCATGGACCTATCTTTTTTTTCTTTGTAAATCATGTAAAGCATTAAAATATATATTCTGAAGTGGTTAACTTTGAGCCTGCAAGAACCCTAATCAGTCCAACTTATGACTATCACAACATATCATAAAATGATAACATTTGACCTTGAGTGATGCTGGAAGAAAATGAAGAAAATGATAGGTATTTTTATGCTAAACATCCTTTTTTGGAATCTCTGGACTTCTAAAAACACAGTAAAAGTTAAAGCATCAGGAAAATTGTTGCCTATCTTTTTTTGCTATAGGGCACATGTGCTCGCCAGAAAGACAGAGAAAAACAGACAGAAAGTGAGAAATCACCCTCCAGGGGAGATGGCCATGCCACAATCCCTTCTCCTCTCAGGATCTTGGGCATGCATGCACATGCGCCCGGAGCGAGTTTTAGACACCAAGTCCGGGACTTGAACCGTGGTCAACTACATTAAAGTCTAGTGACATAGCCATTACACCAACTGCTGGTCCCTATTGCCTATCTTGCCTTTCTTGTGCTTATAGTTTGATTGGAAGTTAGTAAAATTATGTGTCTGGATCTATTATTATATAACTTTTCAGCAGGGTTAAGAACCTATAACTGGGACTAGCAGGTGGTGTGGTGGTGAAGGCACTGGACACTCCCACATGGCTGACCATGATTTCAGTCCCGGACCTACTGGGTTGCTTTCTCACTTTCCCTCTCTCTCTCTCTCACTCTGTCTCTCTCTAGTCAAAATTAAAAATAAAAAAGTAAATAAAATTAAAATAAAATAGTTAAAGAATTATTTAAAAATAAAAGAACCTATAACTTTAAGTGAAAAAAGTATTTAAGGATTATTTTATCTTTATGTATTTATTTATTTTAATTTGATCAGAGAGGGACAGATTGAGTAAGAGAGGGGTTTGTTTTTGTTTATTTTATAAAAGACTAAGTGATTATACAGTCTGCCTCTTAATTTGTAGGCGAGTAAACTGAAACTGTTAGATTAAAGTGATTTCTCAAAGCCATGTAGCTTGCAGGTGACAGAATCTGGACTACATCCAGATGTTCTGACACTATGATTTAGACTCTGCCTTCTTTTATGGTAAATTGGATAATAGTAAGCAAGAAAATTGAGATTCACTTGACTGAAATTTATGATATGGTAATTTAATGGAGAATCTATATTCCTTTCATTCAAAGCAGCGTTCATGGACCTATCTTTTTTTTCTTTGTAAATCATGTAAAGCATTAAAATATATATTCTGAAGTGGTTAACTTTGAGCCTGCAAGAACCCTAATCAGTCCAACTTATGACTATCACAACATATCATAAAATGATAACATTTGACCTTGAGTGATGCTGGAAGAAAATGAAGAAAATGATAGGTATTTTTATGCTAAACATCCTTTTTTGGAATCTCTGGACTTCTAAAAACACAGTAAAAGTTAAAGCATCAGGAAAATTGTTGCCTATCTTTTTTTGCTATAGGGCACATGTGCTCGCCAGAAAGACAGAGAAAAACAGACAGAAAGTGAGAAATCACCCTCCAGGGGAGATGGCCATGCCACAATCCCTTCTCCTCTCAGGATCTTGGGCATGCATGCACATGCGCCCGGAGCGAGTTTTAGACACCAAGTCCGGGACTTGAACCGTGGTCAACTACATTAAAGTCTAGTGACATAGCCATTACACCAACTGCTGGTCCCTATTGCCTATCTTGCCTTTCTTGTGCTTATAGTTTGATTGGAAGTTAGTAAAATTATGTGTCTGGATCTATTATTATATAACTTTTCAGCAGGGTTAAGAACCTATAACTGGGACTAGCAGGTGGTGTGGTGGTGAAGGCACTGGACACTCCCACATGGCTGACCATGATTTCAGTCCCGGACCTACTGGGTTGCTTTCTCACTTTCCCTCTCTCTCTCTCTCACTCTGTCTCTCTCTAGTCAAAATTAAAAATAAAAAAGTAAATAAAATTAAAATAAAATAGTTAAAGAATTATTTAAAAATAAAAGAACCTATAACTTTAAGTGAAAAAAGTATTTAAGGATTATTTTATCTTTATGTATTTATTTATTTTAATTTGATCAGAGAGGGACAGATTGAGGGAGAGAGAGAGAGAAAATGAGAAAGCAAGCCACCATATCTGGGACTCAAACTGCAGTTAGCCAGGTGGGAGTCCAGCGCTCTAAATACCACTCCACCTGCTGGCCCCATGTGAAAAACTTTTTACCCATATTTAATAACTATAATGTATTTGAGTACTAATATTAATGAATATAGATGACATTTTTTAAAGTGTTGGGAAAATGTTTTATCTAGACATGTCATAAACAAGAGATTTACATCATTATTTTAGTATTAGTTACTTTTTTTAAGAGGGCATAATATTTATTTCTCCTTTTAAATTATATGCTTTCCAGATTATCATCATGTTATGTCTTTGGAATAAAAATGTTTTTCACTTTTGTTGAAATTCTGGTGTTATCCAGGACTGGCTGGAAGCAGTAGAAGAGCATTCTGCTTACAGCACTCACTACTGTTCCCAGGACCAGCTGATGGACGATGAGGAGGAAGATGGAGTTTCTGCGGTGGACTTGAAGGAGTCCTTAGAGGTACACAGGGCGACGTAATCTCACTTACATAGCTAACTGTGTCATACAGGTTTTAACAGGAGTCTTTTTGTTATTGCCAGAGGAACAGAGAGAATATATGTGCCAGAGAGAAAGCAAGTACCCCTCAGTGGGGCCCCAGTCATGCTGCATTCCTTTTTTCCTCCATTTCTCCGTCCCCTCAGGATCTTGGGCATGTGCATGCATACTTGGAGTGCCTTTTTTTCCCCTTTTAAGTTTTTGGGTCTGGGACTTGAGCTGTGTTTGGCCTTGTGGGGTCTGGCTGACTCTACAACACTCAACCGCTGTGCTACAGGGCTAGTCCCCTTCCCTTTTTTTTTTTTTTTTTAACATGTGAACTTTTGAAATTCCAATTTCTGACAACAATGGAAAAGTATTCTCTTGATTTGATCATATTTTATTGGTTTTTATGTCTCTGTAGCTGTGCTCTAAAGATACGAACATGTGTAGGGACCAGCAGGTGGCATGGTGGCACTGGACACTCCCACATGGCCAACCATGGTTTGAGTCCCAGACCTGGTGGCTTGCTTTCTCACTTTCTCTCTCTCTCTTTCTCTCTCTCTCTATGTCTCACTCTGGTTAAAGAAAAATAAATAAATTAATAAATAAAATAAAGTTAAATCAATAATTCTTTAAAAAGAAAAAGGTATGGATATGTACTTCTATGTATCATTTCACTTTAGACTTTTCACATTGCTGTAATCAGATTGCCATTCTATTTGAAAACTGCCACCACAGGGAGAGCATGCATAGCTTGACTTGCTGTCCTTTATGACTTCACTGCATATTTCAGAGCTTAAATAATGCAACCATAGTGATACCTTTCCTGGTTAGCAGCTTCATTTAAAATGAAGTGTGATCAGTAACCTCTTTGCTTAGAGGTAAGGCAAAGCGTTAGTAATGAATGGAGAGCCTCTCTGATGTGACAAAGCGAAATATCAGCATATGTCATTGAAATGAAATAGGTATGGGGGGGCATCCGTTTTCTGGCTGTGCTTTTTAAAATGGGTTTGGGAGAATAGAAATAAAAATGGATGATGAGTTTCAATCAAAGTTTTATCAGTGCATGTGAGTTTGCCTGCTAAATATATATATGTATATATATTTGGTAGGCTGGTAAATTAGTTGCATGAGTCGAATCTTTCTAAATCAACAGGGTTAGTGAAGTTAAGTATATTGATACCTAAGGAATTTATTGACTTAAGGACCTATGAACTTAAATTAAAAAAAACAGATTTTGACTCTTCTAGTCTCTAATCTTAATGGAAATTAAAGAATGAGAACTCTTCCATGTTTTCTTGAAGATACTCACCAGAGTTTGCTGGCACTTGCTTTACTAGTATTGGGTGTGTTTTATAGCCTGGTATATAATATGGAAACCATAAACATAATTTTCAAATCAGTGAATTTTGCGAAAGTAGCATCCATTAGAACATCTAAATAATAATAAATTTGACCAAAAGCACGTTAAACAGGTTTAAAAAACAAACAAACAAACAAACAAACAAAAAAAACGACCCTTGGAACCAGCAATTGGCATAATGGCTGTGTCTGTTGTTGGACTCCCATATAGTCGACCGCAGTTAGAGTCCTGGACCCAGTGGCTTAAACTTATGCTGGGTGCATGTGTGTGCATTCCTAAGATCCCAAGAGGAGAATGGAGATGAAGGGTTTCTCACTTTCTATCTCTCTGTCTCTCTCTCTCTTTCTGGTGAGCGCATGCGTCCTATAGCAAAAAGTCTCTCAAAAAAAAAAAAAAAAAGCCCTCTGGTAAATATTTAAAATTTTAGTATTCCCTAAGTGAAAATAAATTCTTTCTTATTTACCCACCCTCAATAAATAAGATATATGTAGATACATGATAAAACCTGAAAGGTTTTAGAAAGCATATCATTATTTTTCCCAGGATTATGCTAATTTTAAGACCTTTTTAATGGAAGTCATAGGAGATAAAAAAAAGCATACTGACTTGCATATCTAAAAGCTTTCTTAAAGAAAGGTTTCTGGGGGACCAGTAGATGGTGTAATGGTTTCATGTTTGGACTCCCACGCAGTCAACCGCGGTTTGAATCCTGGAACCAGTGGCTTAAAACTCACATTGGTTCTGTGTGCATCTGTGTGTGCATGCCAAAGATTCTGAGAAGAGAATGGGGGGAAAGGATTGTGGCATGGCCATCCCGCTTGGAGGTGATTTCTCACTTTCTGTCTCTCTGATGAGCACAGGCACCCTATAGCAAAAATTCTCTCAAAAACAAAAAAGACGGACAAAAAACAAAACCAGAAAGCTTTCTGGGCCAGCCAGTGGCTTAATGGTTAAGATGGCTGGATCGCACATGATTGACTATCAATTTCTAGTCCAAGTCTGGAGGCTGGAAAAACACACCTGGTGCGTGTTGCCTAGCATTAGTCTCAGACTACTGAGTCCGAGATTCAAACCTTGGTCAGCCATGTGGAAATCCAGGGATGTAACTGCTATGCCATCTGCTGGCCCGTTGCCATCTAGAGTTGACAGCACCTGAAGTCGGAGTTTTGGTCAGCATTGAGCACTTTCAGATTTTACAGGTTATAGGCATATCCCTGTCCAATAGAGTTTGCTAATTTTGTGAGCCTATTTTTTTTTTCTTTATGAATTTTGATTCTATCTCCACATCTGGAAACCGATCCAAAACAGTAATGAACTTTGAAGTAAACAAAACTCTAGTTTCTGGCAGAGTGACTCCAAGATGACCTTGATCCTTGAGTTTTTAAGTTATAGGGAATTCAGGGGCCAGTTTATAGAACAGATTTCTTCTTGGTGTCTAGAGATAGTTTATAGGAAATTAGGTATTCTAGGACTGGAATACTCTAAAGTCATGTGAATTAACCACAAAAGTGGTCTTACTTCTTCAACCTGCTTTTGGATTAGTAAGTAGATGTGTATTTGTTGTGTGTGGCGGGGAATGTCCATACTGAAAAAAATGACCATGCTACTTTTGGTCTCAGTTTCCTCCAAAATGAAGGCTTCCAAAAACTTAAAATATTGCCTTGAGGTCAGGCCCCCCAAAGAGAGGAGTACAAGATAAGTCATAGAAATACAGGCCTCTGGGGCCAGGAGGTGGCATGATGGTTAAGGACACTGAACTCCCACGGCTGACCATGGTTCGAGTTCCAGACCTGACAGCTTGCTTTCTCACTTTGCCCCTCTCTCTCTCTTGCTCTGTCCCCCTCTGGTCAATTAAAGTAAATAAAATTAAGTGAAATCATTCTTTAAGAAAAAAAGAAATACTGACCTCATGGTTGGTGCTTTAATGGCAGCTTGAAAATATTTCAGAAATAATGGAAGAGAAAGTCAGGCACAGTATTAGTGTAGAAATGCACTATCTGATGCAATCATTGGTAGTCACATGTGGTTTACATTTAGATTGATTAAAACCAACTTAAAACTCCGTTGCTCATCCTGACTGCTACATGCAGAGTGTTCAGTAGCCCTATGTGGCTACCACATTGGACAGCACAGGATAGAATGTTTCTGTCATAGTAAACAGTTCTATTAGACAGTATTGGGATAGGCCCTTAGATTCTGTGGATGATAATAGCAAAGGGACTTTATTTATTAAGGATATCTTGATTCTGTAAGATCTAAACTATATATTGTAAGATGAAATGAGCAGATGATGGTAAATTTTAACAAGATGAGAAAGTAATATAAAATGTACTGATTTAAGAATACTTGATTCCCGGACCAGCCTGTGGCATAGTGGTTCAGGTGGCTGGATCTCAGATGTCTACCAGTGCCATTTGCGTCCCAAACCTAGTGACTTGAGAATCATACCAGCTGCACATGCATGCATATTCTCCAAAATGAGAACAGAGGAGACGGTGGCATGGCCATCCCCCTTGGGGGGTGCTTTCTCACTTTCTCTCTTTCTCTCTCTCCCCCTCTGGTGAGTGCACATGCCCTCTAGCGAACTAGGAAAAAAAGACAATACGTGATTCCAAACTAAAGCAACTATGCAAAAAGATGCACATAAATCAACATGGGCTGATAAAGATTGGTGACGTCACACAAGAATGAGGCAGATTTATATATACTGATTTATTTAAGATATACAGTTGAGTGGATTTGACTGGAAGGAAGACTTAGAGATGAGCATAGGGATCCACATGAAGTGCTGGCTACTTTCTGCATGTAGGAAAGTTGTCAAGGGGTCTACAATCTATACTTTTAAATATTTGGATTGATATTATTGAGGACTTTTTATACAATAAAAATGAATTCATATTATGCATTTTGACAAACATATATACCCTTTGTAACCACCACTCCCATCCAAATATAGAACATTTTTATTACCTCAAAAAGTTTTCTTGTTCCTGTTCCCAGACAAGGCCCTCCACCTCCTTTTCAGGTAACCACTGATCTACTGACACTGACTGTCATTATAGGCATTGTTCGTGTTCCTGTTCTAGAATTTCATGTGGATGGAATGCAGTATGCGTTGTTTGGTTCTGTTGTCTCTCAGTATAAGGCTGTGTGTATTAGTAGTTTGTTCTTGCTTCTGGCCGCTTCTGTTCTTAATTAACCAAATGTGGTTTTTCTATAGCAACAGTTTAGGATTAACAACCTCTCTCATGCTATTCACTCCTCTCTTGCTGTCCACCCCCTTCATGCACATTTGTAGGAAGCCCTGTAGCTCAGGAATAATAAGGTAGTTTAGAACCAACTTGGGTCAGACAAGACCAACGGCCAATATGTGAGTGGACAGAAATCAGAAGAGGAGACCTGTGCTGTCACTGACTCAGCTGCTCCCCTGGGGTGCCTGCTGATCCTGTGGGTCCCCATATCAGTGGGTGTAAACCTCGTTCTTGTGTGCTTTGCCCAGGTAACTTGAACAAAGCTAAAATCCTATCAGACTTCAAGTATTAGGATGTTATTCATAGTCATGCCCATTTATATAGAATAAATAAATAGAAATTAAAACTTAAAAAGAGTCCTTAATATAATGTGAATGGCATAGAAGTTAAGAGTGAGACACCATGCTGGGCTCTGCAAAGAATTCGTAAGCATTAACCTTCATAAATAGACTTAAGTTTTCATAAAATAAACCAATAGCTGCTAAAAGATAATTGTAGCAAGTTGGAGAAGAGATTATGTTTTATTATATTAATAACCTCTCTATTCCTTTTAGTATTAAACAGTACTAGCTTGTTTAGAACAGAAGATACACATTGTACCTGTCTTAAAACAGTATGTGCAGTTTGAATCTTCTCCAGCTAAACTATTATGTACCTTGTAAAACAAGTAAATCATCCATCAAGGACACTTTTTTTAGTAACTGTCACATGAGTATGCAAAGGGAAGATGAATTGATTTGAGGTTTTCTTTTTCATTGCCTGAGGGTATGTGTGCTAGCCGGAGAGAGATAGGAGAAAGCACCCCGGGGGTGCGGTCATGCTTTCATTCCTTTCTCTTCCATTTCACATTCCATGGAGGTTTGGAGCACACACGCACATGTGCCCATCTTGGACAAGCTGCTGGGTCTGGGATTCCACTGTGGGATCCAGCTAACTCTTAATGACTAGGCAAAAGGCCGACCTGTGATCCAACTATTTGAAGATGATTGCTATGGGGAGTGTTTCCTGCTTTTAATTATGACTTCCTGTTTATTACAAGTTCAGAGTCTGCTAGTGAAGCTCGTGCTTACTTGTGTGCATCTGGTTAACTCTCACTAGAAAGGAAAAGAGAAAGCAGAAGTGTTGATTTGCACATGAGCAGGAATATTAAATATGCATAGAGTAAGAATGATGATTTTTTTTATTAATAAGTTATGAGTGTGATGCATTTGGGTGCCATGCATGTTTCAGAGTCTCCAGATCAACTTTTTTTCTGCCTTTGACCTGTATTCACAGGCTGTGCCTGAAAAACTTATCAAGCATCCATTTCTCTTTCTGTGGTATTTTAAATTGCACAGTGGCGGGTTTTTTCCCCTCCCAAAATAAATAAAAAAAAAAATGAGAATTATATTTAGGTGTTGTTTGAGCTCTCCAAACAAAGAGAGTAATGCAGATTTTAAAGAGAACATTGCCTGTCACTAATGTGGTACCATGAATAATTCTACTGTGATTGAGCTGAGTGAACTTTATAAGCACTAAAAAATTTATAAGTTGAAATAGAAGGAAAAAAAATACCTGTGTCTTCTTGGCACATTGAGCTACAGTCGACTTGGTTTTGGAGAAGCAAAAATGCTTTGTAATGGGCTGGTTGAGGTTCGGAGTACAAAGTAGGGAAGCTTCATAAGGCTAAATATATTAATCTACCTACAATATTGTGAATTAATATTCAGAAGCATTAAGGTCCTCAGAATAAAGATTTTCTATTGCCATGTCCAGAAAATTTACAATGAAAACTTTCTTGCTTATTCTTTCCACCTTTGAAAAGGTAAACTACATGTAAAACTCACTTCAGTGGATTTAACTGATTTTCCATTTGAACTTCCAAATCTGTACTGAGATGAGATGCAAATTACATCATGAAATTCTGGATTTACATTTTTCTGTGAGGGATCTAAATATGTAGAACTTTGAAATTACAAGGAAAGATGCTTTCTATAATTGACTTTACCTTATTTTCATAAGCTTTGACTTACTAAGAAAATGTCCTTATTGGTCTGATTATGTGGGGGCTGCATGCACTTAGATTGCTGAACGGAATCAGTTTGTGCTTTCCAAATGTTAGGACCATCTGGATTTTTTTTTAAACAAAAAGAGTTTTAAAAAAGATTCTTAAGGAAGGTATTCTGTCATTTCTTGATGAATTTGATCAAGCCTTCCAAAACTGTTAATGAGCCGGAGAAATCTAACTCCTTAGATATACATAGAATAATAAGATAAAGGTTGAATATCTTTTATCTAAAATATTTGGGATCCAGAAGTGTTTCTGGTATTTTTAGAATTTGGAATAATATGCATAAAATGATGTCTTGGGGAGGGGACCTATGTTTAAATATGAAATTCATTTATGTTCTATGTATTACCGTCCAGCCTGAAGGGAATTTTTGTACAGTATTTTTGTATTGTAGCATTTTGACTGTGACCCATTATGGGAGGTGATCAGGTGTAGAATTTTCACTTGTGTCATCATATCTGTGCTCAACAACTTTGGGATTTTGGAGCATTTTAGATTTAGGATTTTGGGATAAGGGATGCTCAATCTGTATAATATAATAATTAATACATCTGGTATGGTATCTATGTGTTAGCTGTAAAATATTTAGAATTTAGAAGTATTTATTTTTAAATTTATACTTGATTAACTAGTGGGTCCTTAGAAAAGTCATGACGTATTTATGCACAGAAAAATACGTCATGACTTTTCCAGTGACCCAATAAATGTTATATTCAGTTTCCAAGGAAAGTTCTTTTCACCTTTTTCCCTTTACAAGGAATATGTTTCAATTATTACAGTAAATCAAGCTATGAACTGAAAAGTTTTCAAGTGTAAATAATGTAAAACTTTAATTTCTTTGTTTTAATTTTGTCTTTTTTTTCTTTCCAGAAAGCACAAGCATGTCAACAGAGACTAGATAGGGAAATTTCCAACTTTCTCAAAATGATTAAGGAGTGTGACATGGCTAAAGGTAAAAAATAAATAAATAAATAAAAATAAGCACTACCAAAAAAAAAAATCACTGAAGTCACTCTTAACATTATCATAGGTGTTGACCCTTTATAGTTTTGTTTGACAGTGTATTTCAGATAATTTTTGGTTCTGAATTCAGAATTATAATTGATAAAAATTTTTTTGAAAATTAAAAAGTGCTATTTAAAATTTCTGCTCATTGAGGATCTCACACTAGGAATTAATAATGTTTTTGTTCAGGGCCAGCAAGTGACTTGATGGTTAAGGGTGCTGGACTCCCACATGGTTGACTGTGATTCGAGTCCCAGACCTGGTGGCTAAAAAGTAATGTTTTTACTCATCTAAAAAAAAGAAATATAAAGTCAATATTTTTAGCTATAAATTAATTCAGGCTATATACTGATAATTCTGCTTTGAATATCAGAAGACTTGAGTTTTGGAGTCAGAATATCTTACGCCACATATCCTTCCTCTACCACTTATGAGTCAACACTTTGAACAGTACATTTAAGTTCTCTGAGCCTCAGTTCTTCCATTTATAAAATAAAGGGGTGCTTATTTCCAGGTCTTGCCTTTTGAAATCACCCCCTAGGAGGAAGATCATGCCCCAATTCCTTGTCTCCATTCTCCTCCTGGGATTTTAGGCATGCACACACATGTACCCAACATGATTCTCAAACTACCAGATTTGGGACTTGAACTGTGGTCAGCTGTGTAGGAGTTCAGCACCTTAACCTTCATGCCACCTGTTGATCTTTTTTGATCTAATATATGTATCTGTGAACTTGCCTATCTAATAATCTTTCAGAAGTAACTTTTTTCTTCGTTCTCCATTAGTTATGAATTATCAAGAGTTTATTATAAGTAGCCTAAAAATCAGTCTTTAAACATTGAAAAAATTATTCTTTTATAAATTGAAAAATTATCATGATTTTTAGACCTTAAACTTAAAAAAAATTATTTATTTAATTAATTTATTCTTTCATTTATTTTTATTTGACCAGATAAAGATTCAGAATGAGAGAGAGAGAGAGAGAGAGAGAGTGAGAAAGCAAGCCACTAGGTCCAGGATCAAACTGCTGTCAGCCATGTGGGAGTATCCAGCACCTAAACTGCCATGCCACCTGCTGGCCCCTAGACTTTAAACTCTTAATAGTTGCTTTAGACTTTAGCCACAGCATATATCTAGTGGAGTCCACTGAAATATAATTGATTTAGTTATTGTGCTTATAATTATCAATTTTAATTGTGAATTAGTTTCTCTTAGTTAACTCCTAGGTTTAGTTTATATGTTCCAAGGAACTGTGAAGAAATTTCACATTAATATTAAAGTAAACTAAGCATAAATATTCTGTGTCTGTCCAGATGTACCTCAGGCATTCTTTTAAAGTCAGTTCAACAAACTTTTGTATTATTCAGCAATAATAGTTTTGGGATTTTTTTTTAGAGGTTTTTGCTATAGGGCGTGTGCACTTGCCAGACAGAGAGAGACAGAGAGACAGAAAACGAGAAATCACCCACCAGGGGGGATGGCCACGCCACAATCCCTTCTCGTCCATTCTCCTCTCGGGATCTTGGGCAGGCATGCACACATGCCCAGCATGAGTTTTAAGCCACCGGGTCTGGGACGCGAACTGTGGTTGACTATGTCAGAGTCCAGTGACATAGCCATTACGCTAACTGCTGGTCCCAACAATAATAGTTTTGGAAAGTATAATAGTTAAATCAATTTGCTTATTAATTGCAGGGAAGAATATTGTATTATTTAGCACTATTCATTTTCTTTTTGGGGGGAGAGATTTTTGCTATAGGGCACATGCCCTTGCTGGAGAGACAGAGCGATAGAAAGTGATATATCACCCTCTGGGGGAATGGCCACACCGCAATACCTTCTCCTCCATTTTCCTCTCAGGATTTTGAGCACGCACACATACACTCCTTATGTGAGTTTCAAGTCTCCCAGTCCAGGACTCAAACCATGGTTGGCCATGTGGAAGTCCAGCAACATAACCATTATGCCATCTGCTGGTCCCAACACTATTAATATTCAGTGGACTTTTAAAATAATAACAGTTTCATTAGATCTAATTCACATAATAATTTACCCATGTGAAGTGTATTGTTCAGTGTTTTTTAGTGTATTTGCAGAGTTATGAAACTGAAACTATCAATTCGGTTTTAGAACAACATCTTGGGCTGGCCCTATAGTTTAGAGGTGAAGGGAGCTTAATCTCACATGGCTGACTACAGTTTGACTCTCAGCCCTAGAGGCCCAAGGGACATGCTAGGATGTGTGCACACATGTGCACACTCCCAAAAGAGCGACAAGATAGAAAAATGAAAAAGAAGGAATTGCTGTATGACCATGTTTCATAGAAGGGTGCTTTTTCCCTCTCTGTCTCTCTAGAGAGTGCACACAACCTCTGGCAATTATAAAGAAAAAACAAAAAATGCAATATATTCACCAAGAACCACCAAAAACAGAATATGATGATACTAATAATATTTAAAAGATACAGAAAAAGACCAGAGTGACATAAAATATAAAGATTAAAATAGGTAATCTAGACCAAAGCATAAAATTATGTTAGAACTACAACCAAATTAAGTTTCTTTACTCAAATTTTTTTTATTCAGATTATACCTCTATGACATGTCATTCATAATGGTGAATCCATGTCTACATTAACAATGACTGAGTAGTTGATTTAACTAATATGGAGGAACTGATAAGAAATCAGCATTGTTTAAAGATTTGCATGATATTTGATACCATAAAAGACCTTTCTTTTTGGACACTATTTATTTATTTTTAATTTGACCAGAGAGGAACAGAGAAAGAGAGAAAGTGAGAAAGCAAGCTGCCAGGTCCAGGACTAGAACCACAGTCAGCAATGTGAGAGTTCAGTGCCCTTAGCCACCATGTCATCTGCCAGCCCCAGGATAATCATCAAAAATTTTTTTTCAACTCTTTATAAAAAAAAAAAAATTATCATGATCATCATTATTACTTTTGCTATATTTTTAAAATAATTATTTAATTTTATTTATTCATTTATTTAAATTTGACCAGAAAGAGACACACACACACACACACACACACACACACACACACACAGAGAGAGAGAGAGAGAGAGAGAGAGAGAGACAGGGACTCAGACCATGGCCAGCCATGTCCAGCGCCTTAACCACCATGCCACCCGGTAGTTCCCTTAATTTGCTATATTTATTTGTTTGTTTGTTTATTATTTATTTATTTGGAGAGGTTTTTGCTCTAGGGCATGTGCACTCACCAGAAATACAGAGAGACAGAAAGCGAGAAATCACCCTCCAGGGGGGATGGCCATGCCGTAATCCTTTCTCCTCCATTCTCTTCTCGGGATCTTGGGCACACACGCACACGCACCTGGCGTGAGTTTAAGCCACCGGGTCCGGGGCTAGAACCATGGTCAACTACATGGGAGTTCAGCAACATAGCCATTACACCAACTCCTGATCCCGCTATATTTATATTTACTATGCACTCACAGAGAGAGAGACATAGAGGGAAAGTGAGAAAGCAATCTACCAGGTCTGGGACTTGAACCATGGTCAGTCATATTGGTGTCCATTGTCTTTACCACCTGGCCCCTGTACAGGATAATCATGTACTATGCATTTTATTAAAGAAAACTGATAGATAACAGGTCCTGCTCCAAATTGCCTACATAGTTGCCAATGACTTCTCAAGATGAAAAACTAAAAATGTTTGTGGATAGAATCCAGATCTTATGGTTGTCATTGTTCATTATCTTACATTTTGGTACAAAATTACATTAACTTTAAAATATAGATACTTTCCTCCTTATCCCAGTTTCTATCACAGTAATTCAACTCTGTGTCACCTCAAATCCAGATTATTGAAGCAGCCTACCCTTTAGCCTCTGTGCCTCCTGGGAGTACCCCTGCATTCCACCCTTGGGGGAGTAGAATCAAAAAACTTTAAGGAAATTCTGTGAAATACTCTGTCATTACTGCCAGGTTTATTTTACAAAGGTACTTTTTCATCATAATTTTGTTGTTGTTGTTGAGAAATCTTTCATGGATGTTAATGACTACAGAAAAAAGTTCAAACGTTTTATCCCTGCTCTTTAAGGACTTTCATAGTTCTCTCACAGCTTAATTTTTCAGATTTACTTTCAATTCTTTTCTTCCATGACCTCTTTGATCAAATACCATGTCTTTGGTTGGAATTGTCCTCTTATAGAAATACTTTCATTTCCTGAAAAGACTTAAATCTAACTGCTTTCTATTGAATGTCAAAGTTCATGTTTCTAGTATCAACAGCACATAATTCAAAGTTCAGAGAATCCAGTCTTGAAATCTCTACTATTTGGTTTATTAAAAGCTCAGTTGCAAAAACCAAATCACCCAAATAAAACTTTTGAAAGACTTCTAAAGACCATGTTGTTAACCCATTCTTTCATACATCACTAAATTTACCTATTTATGTTTTTTTTTTTTTTTGAGAGATTTTCACTATAGGGCGTGTGCGCTCGCCTGACAGACAGAGACATTAGAGACAGAAAGCGAGAAATCACCCCCCAGGGGGCATGGTCACGCCGCAATCCCTTCTCCTCCATTCTCCTCTCGGGATCTTGGGCACGCACGCACATGCACCCAGCAAACCGCGGTCAACCATGTGGGAGTCCAGCGACATAGCCATTACGCTAACTGCTGGTTCCTGCTATATGTGGTGTTTAGAATTATTACTTTATTATTATTATTATTATTATTATTATTTAGAGATTTTTGCTACAGGGCATGTGCACTCACCAGAAAGACAGAGAGACAAACAGAAAGTGAGAAATCACCCCTCAGGGGATGGCCACAACGCAATCCCTTCTCCTCCATTCTCTTGGGATCGTGGCCACGTACGCATACGTGTCCAGTGTGAGTTTAAGCCACTGGGTCCAGGACTCCAACTGTGGTTGACTACATGGAATTCCAGCAACATAG